AGCAAAATATACAAGACATAAGAAATGGAAAATTATTTGTTGATAACACGTATGTTGATGTGATTGACTGAGCCAATAGTGTATTTTCGATGGAAAATTCATTTTGTATACTGTAATGATGTATAGTGAATTAATGTAAAAAAATTAAAATAAATAAATAAAATATGAAATAGATTTTTTAAAATTATTTAAAATTGACCCAGATAATTTGAAGATCCCTTGTGGGCAGCTCAGTGGGTATGGGGAGGAGGTACAGGTCTGAGCAGTTCTGGGTTCCTTCTGTAAGTCCCTGGGATTGTCCTGCCTCCCCCCAGAGCCAGCAGGAAACTTAGCAGGCACAGACTTGCCCTGGGCAGGAATGGAAAGCCTGCTACACCTGGGCAGTCTCTAACCTTAGGAAGGAGAGAAGAGGCTCAGAGACCAAGCACCCAGCTGAATGGAGGCGCGACTCCCTCTGTAGGCTCTGACCAGGAGTGTGTGTGCAGCAGCGAGGGGGTGGAGAGGGAGCCAGTCCTGGAGAGCAGTGATGCCCTCTGACTGAGCGCGGTAAGGTCAACTGAGGCAGCCATGGCCCAGAAGGCTGGCGGATGACGCGGCAAACTTCAACATGGAACCAAAGAACCCCTGGGCACATGAGGGCTTCCCAAAGGCATGGCAGGCTTTCAGGCAACACATTTTCAGATTGCCATCTCCATATGTGCTCTGTAAAACTGCTTTTCATAATCACCCCCTCCCCACCTTACAAAAGGAATGCATCCCTCTGCCCCTTTTCCAATCAAGCAGTGCTTTGGCAGTGCCTGCCTTGGAAGCATTTGTATCTGAAAAGGGAGAAAAAAAGAAGGAGGGGGATTTTAAATATTGGAGTCTGGAGTATGGTTTTCAGCCAAGGTACCACTAATCAGTGGTCAGGCTCCCAGACTCCCCTGACTTACCATATTTCTGTGAAGCAGAGAGGGAAACAGCCTTGGCTCAGGTTGAGATGTCCTGAATATAGACATGTTACAGCAGGATGACAGCAGAGGTGGTGATGGCTTTTGTTTTGTTTTAATGATCTGTCCTTTCAGTTCTGTGTTGACAGAGACTAAGTGGCTGTTGGGAGGAAGGTCCCAGGAGAAGCAGCAAAGAGCACCCATTAAAATTGCTGATCACAGCAGTACATTTACAGCAAGGCTCTGTGCCTTATTCATCTGAGAGCTGAAATCATCACGATTTATAAAAAGGATCCTGAAAAATAGGACTTTGCATCAAAGCCACCCCTCCTGCATTTGCACCATTCTCAGTGGTGAGAACATACCTTGGTGAGTCTTCCCCGTAATTTGCCCAAGTTTCGGTCTAATATGTATGCTTTGCTTGATTTTAAGGTGGCATAAGAAAATAGTTCTGCATTCAGTCTAACTTGTCAATGTTAGGTCATTTTCTTTCCAAAAGAAGATACATCAGAGGTAAGCTGATGCTTTGTATTTTTTATAACCTTTGAGTCATAGGAGAAAACTCTTCATTTACGTACATTCAAAATTATTGGAAACTGTCCCGGAACATTTAAACATAAATTTCTGATATATACATACATAAGTGTTTTTTGATGCACATAAGTATGGTCAAAGTGAATGCTTTTAAGAATCAAATAAAATGGTCCTAGTCCATTCTCTATTGCTGTAACAGAATACCACAGACTGGACAATTCATAAAGAAAGACATTTCTTTTTGTTTTCCTTGAGAGGTTTTGCTATAGGGCATTTGTGCTTGTCAGAGTTATACGGAAAGACAGAGAGCAAGTGAAACATCACCCCCCCAAAAGGAACGGTCATACTGCAATCCCTTCTCCTCCATTCTCCTCTTGGGATTTTGGGTACACATGCATATGCAGGCAGCGGGAGTTTCAAGTCTCTGGGTCTGGAGCTTGAAGCACGGTCAGCCATGTGGGAGTCCAGCAACATAACCACTACACCACCTGTTGGCCCCAAAACATTTATTTCTTGCTCTCCTTGAGGCCAGCAAGTCCATGGGAGAGGGCTTTCTTTCTGAGTCGTCATATGGCTTAAGGTAGAGCTAGAGAACATGCTGAAGAGCCAGCAGGAGGAGGTGGAGCTCTCAGTAAAGCCTTTTATCATTGACTTTAATCCATTCCTGAGGGCAGAGCATTCATCACCAATCACTTCCCAAAGGCCCCATCTCCCAGCCCTGTTGTATTAGAGATTCAGTTTTCAGCCTGGTGTGTGTCCACATATGGAAAAGGAAAGTGAGAAGTCACCCTCTGAGGCTCAGGGGTGGCCAGGCTGCAATACCTTCTCCTCCATTCTCCTCTTGAATTTTTGGGCATGTACACACACACACACACACACACTTGGTGTGTTTTTCAAGCTACCAGGTACAGAACTCCAGCTGTGGAGTCAACCATGTGCCATCCTGGTGCCTTAACCACCATGTCACTGACTAGCCCAGGAAATAACCTACTTTTAAAAAATCCATTGTGGGGACCAGCAGTTAGCATAATGGCTATGTGGCTAGACTCCCGCATGGTCGACCGCGGTTTGCATCCTGGACCCAGTGGCTTAAAACTCACGCCGGGCACATGTGCATGCGTGCCCAAGATCCCAAGAGGAGAACGAAGGAGAAGGGATTGCGGCATGGCCACCCCAACTGGGGGGTGATTTCTCGCTTTCTGTGCTCTCTGTCAATCTCTGTCTGGCGAGCGCAAGCGCCCTATAGCAAAAACCTCTCAATAAATAAATAAATAAATAAATAAATAAATAAATAAATAAATAAATCCATTGTGGATGGGAAGCCTGGAAGCATATCTTAGGCTGGAATTTATTAATAGCATTTGTCAGAACCAGCAGTTAGCGTAAGGACTATGCTGCTGGACTCCCATGTAGTTGACCGTGGTTCAAGTTCCAGATCTGGTGGCTTAAACTCACGCCGGGTGTATGTGTGCCCAAGATCCTGAGAGGAGAATGAAGGAGAAGGGATTGTGGCATGGTCATCCCCCCTGGGGGATGATTTCTCACTTTCTGTCTCTTTGTCTCTCTGTCGGGAGAGGTGGCGGCCCACAAAAAAAACACCAAAAAAAAAAAAAAAAAAAAAAAAAAAAAAACAGAAAGAAAGAAGAAAAAATAACATTTGTCATCATCTGACATTTGAGGTCCCCATCACTGCTCTTTCAGTAAATGAATTAATGAGCATACTTTGTGTCCCATCATGGTCAGAGATGCTGGATATAGTTTCTGTGCCTTTGAATCTATAAAGGCTTGATTTGTGCCCTATTATATGATCAATCTTTGAAAAGGTTCCATGTGGGGATGAGAATAAAATGTATATTTTGTGGTTTTAGGGTGGAAAGTTCTATAGCTGTCTGTCAAGCCCATTTGATTTATAGTATTGTTTAGTTCCTATCTCTCTTTGCTTATTCTTTGTCTAGAAGTTCTGTCTAAAAGAGGTAATGGAGTGTTGAGATCCCCAACCATTATAGTGTTGCAACCCATCTCTCCTTTTAGGTCTAGCAGTCTTTTCTTCCTGTATTTGGGTGCTCCTGAGTTGGGCGCATAGATATTTACAAGCGTGATGTCTTCTTGATGACCTAGCCCTTCTTTGTCTGTTCCAGCAGTTTTTTTCTTAAGGCTGATGTTATCTGAGATCAGTATCACAAATCTAGCCCATTTTTGATTTTCATTCGCATGGAATACCTTTTTCAGCCCTTCACTTTTAGTCTATGTATGTCTTTATCCATGAGATGCGTTTCTTTCTTGTAGGCAACAGATAGAGGGTTTCTGTTTTTTTTTTTTTTTTTTTTTAAACCATTTAGCCAGTTTGTGTCTTCTGATTGGAGAATTTAATTCATTAACATTCAACGTTATTATCAATATTTCTGGACTTGTTTCTGTCTCTGAGTTAGCCATTTTCTTCGGGTATTTTTGTTGTTGCTGTTCTCTTATTTCTGTCTGACTGACTTTGGTTTTCCTGGTATAGCACCCCCTTCAGCACTTCTTGAAGAGCTAGCCTGGAACTGGTAAATTCTTTCAGGTTTTGTTTATCTGAGAATGTTTTCATCTTTTCTTCCTACATGAAGGATAATCTTGCCAGGTATAGTAATCTTGGTTAAAATTGTTTTTCATTTAGCACTTTGGATATATTTTCATATTCTTTCCTTGCCTGCATTGTTTCCGACTAAAGGTCTGATGTTAGCCCGATGGGATGACCTTTGTAAGTTGCTTTACATTTTTCTCTTGATAATTTTCGTATCTTATCTTTGTGGTTTGGGCCAATTTGGCTATGATGTGCCTTGGAAAATAGATCTTCTTGGGTTGATTATGTTTGGGTCCTTTATAATTCTTGGGTCTGAGCTTTTGAATGCCTCTCAAAGTTTGGAAAGTTTTCTTCCAGAATTTCGTGGAATAGATTATCAATGTCCTTATTATTTTCTTCACCTTCTGGGATACCAATTATCCCTAGGTTTGGGTGCTTGATGTTATCTGGCATTTCTCACATATTGTCCTCATTCTTCTTAGTTATTTTTTCAGTCTTTTTGATAATTTTTTCTAGGTCAGAGATTTT